GAAATCAGCTCCTAAATTATTTGTATATTCCTGCTTTGATTATATGAACAATGCAACTTCTCATCTAAAAGCAGGAGTTTGTATTAGTCTGTTGAATAGTAAACCTCTGATATTTTGCTAAAATAAAATGTCCAAATAATTGTTTTTCTTTGATTCATCAGTTAGGGTTTGCACTGAAATACACATTATCTGAGGGCAAGGTACATGGTTACATGCAAACATCTGTAGCAGCATATAATATCCTTCTCCCCTCTTCATAAAATTGTTACTTTTTCCTCTATCCAAGCAACTATAGAGCAAAGAGAACCTTCAGTTTATTTACTTTAATACGGGCTTGTAAATATCAGGAATCTGTTGTGAGGAGGGACATTTAGCCTGCTGCTACAGCTCTCTCCATCAGCACTGAATGTGAGATCTGATCCCGGGCCAGTAGTTTTACCATGTCACCCGGAGAGTGGGAAGGAAGTACCTACTGTTAATTTGAGCCAAGAACATTTTCACATTGTGCCTGAAACATGATGGGAGGAAAATGAGGACCAATTGTGTGTGTCCAGGTTTGGATATTGCTTGCAAGAACCAAAGTAGGTTTAAATTTTTAGGTTTTGCTGTTGTTTGAAATATGAACAACGAGAAAGAAAAAGACATTTTACAAAAGAAGATTTCCTGTCGGGACAGAGAAAGCTCCCACCAAAATGCATTCTGGGTCAGGTTCAATATGTAAGATAAGTCAGGGAATTAATGTTTATTTTGTGAGATCTGTACAGATTTTGGCCTTCTGCATAATGTAAATTTCACAGACTAGTGTAGAAGAAACTCCTAAACTTGAGCCAGTCACTAATATTCAGATTTTAATAAAACTTCTAACCAGCACCACCGCCCCCCTCAAATTTTGAGATTTCCCTTGTTTGGACTCCTAAAGAAGAAATATGATATGCTGTATAATTTTCAAAAGATAGTGTTAATTTTTCAAAATAAATGTACGTGCACATACACAAGCAGCATAACTTGGTTTATCTTAGTTTTGCGTATTTTTGCAAAGGCCATGATTATCTCCAGTGAATTTGTCATCCAGATCCCATGACTTTGCCCCTCTATAAAGGAAGCAACTGTGTAACATCTAGTGCAGTTGCCTACAGCTGTACTACTTGTAACATATTTGTGCATATGACAGCTTTAGCCTGCTTCCCAGAATGAATGTTTTGCATACACAAGGGTTGCAGAGACTACCAAGCAGTTCTCTTTCTGGCCACTGGGCTGATGTTGTGGAAAATTGATTTCCAGTTGGATTCTCACACTTCCTCTGCTCTTATATTTTGGTTTCAGTATATCAACCCATGATTGAAGCTGAACATAAATAGCAGCAAAGGAAGTAAGGCATGGAGGTGAAAGGGCAGGTGGAAGGAGCTGAACTGGAAACAGTGAGGGACAGACAACCATAAACATACAGTTATACAAGCAGATATGTTTAATGATAGTCCACAATCTCAGGACCTTGCTACATAAACTGAGAACAAAATTCAGACATTAATATTTTCCCCAGTTCTCTCTTCTTATATACCCAAACTGAGCCTTTATTATTTTCTTTCTGTTTGAATAGTAATACAAGTGAAAGCAATCCTGATTTCACAATATTGATTACCTCTGTGCTTCAGGTATTCAGCTGAGATTATAACTCTCACATCTCAGCAAGTAGCATAGCTGTCAAAATACAGATGACCCAAAATATTTAACTGTTCATGTAAAATGGAAATACTACAGCAGAATAAAAAGCAGGAACTAAGAAGGACAAGAGCTTTGCCTTAGTATCACACATCCTAGCACCCTCTACTAATCACTGAGCTATTGTGGGCAGCTGATTTGTTGATATGAATGTGATTCCACAGAACATTTCGGTATTCATGAAAGAGTATTTTTTAAGGAATAAGATCTTGTCTAAAATCTTTTAATCAACCTTAGTGAGGAGGGTCTTCTGAAGGACAGGCTAAAGGAGCAAATGCACTGTTAGGAGGATGACCAGAAAAGCACTGACTACTGAACATTGAGTAATCAAACTTGTCAGTGCAAAAGTTTTGGTCAGTAGAGCTGATGAAGAAAAGGCACGGAGCACTGATTGTAAGCTTTGGGTAGAGAAAGCTAACATTTGCAGATGTGTGGCAGATTTGAAGTGCGTTGAGTAGAGGGAAGAGAAAAATCCTGGTGGTGACTGTAAACTGTTCAGTGAACCTTCACTTCTGCATCTTGTACACTGGATAAATAGATTTCTTTCCTTATACCACAGAGCCAGGTGCTTATATCTCCTGCGTGGAAGATGAGAAGTGCAAATACCAGCCCATGCAACAGAGATGAGCTGACTATAGGTTGCCTAGTAAGAACTGTTTAAGATGGTTTCTGATTTCATGTGACGGTGACATCTATGTAGAGGTATGCTGGCTCCAGGACACTTTTTTGCTAATTTCATTTTCAAGCTTTTGCCCACATACCCAATTCCATAGCTGTGAAATTGCAAGGAATGCAATGAAAAGATTCCTCAGGTTTTTAAATCATTATTCTTATTAAAATTGCTAATATTTTTGTTTCTCTAAATTGTTTTAAGTCTACTTGCTTTCATTTTTATAAAACCTTATATAAAATCACAGATGTTTTGAACTGTTTGATTGTTTCCATGAATCAGACTTAGAAAAAACCTGATCTGCTTAATATTTCTGCATATTACCTTCATGCATTTAGACTATATAAACTATTACTATTTATATTTTTAACAGTGCTCTGTAATACTTAGATGAAATTCACAGGTATATGTGATAATTGCAGCAAATCAGAAGAGTACTGAAAAGTCCAGACTGAAGAAGTTACCAATTTCATAGGTTTAAAGTGGTGTCTTAATTGGCTGTGAACTGTGACTAAGAATCAAAGTGGAGAAAATCACCTAAATTTACCCTCCCCCTTACTCAGCGGTAAGCTTCATAGGACCCTCCCCAAACCAAATAAGGCCAGGAAGAATGTGCTAAGCACTGAGCGTGCTAAGAATAAAGCTGAGCTGGGACGGATAAGGTTACTTTGAACTCTATATTTCATGTTTCCTGACATACCCCCCAAAGAACTGCAATTATGCTAGCAAGGCTGCAGGAGCGTTAAACAGTTCTTTCCCAGTTTTCTTTGTTTTTTGTTGCCTTTCAATGAGTTCCTGTCCTGTTTAGAGCTGTGCCTTTTTATTTGTAGTGTCCATGGTTCTTAGGATATTAGAAAAAGCATGCTGAAGATTCACTGTGAGGCATGGCTATTTTTGTTAGAAGCTGATACTTTAGACTGAGATTTAAGTGTTGCCTCTGGAAGGCCTTTGAGTGCTCTGGGAGGACAGGAGTCTGCAGAGGAAACAGAAAGTTCAGAGGGGTGCAAAAGAAGAAGGAACAGAATTAGAAAAAGCAAAGGACCTCCCTCCTTCTCATTCTGCAGCTCCTGCAAGAGCCAACAACCCAGAAGTATTATCTAAGCTGCCACAGTAGATCTTGACCTTTTTAACAGAGTATCTCTTACCATCATCATCATGGCCGAGATTACAGCAGAAGGTACGGTAAATATTTTCAAATATAATTAACTAAAAATGATATATACTTTGACAGTGTAATTGAGCTAGTGCGTCAATACAATTTTTTGGTCTTAGAAAATAATGCTTTCACTCCAGGAACATTTCATTTTGTTTATTTGCTTACTTTCTACTTTTTCTTCCTGTTTTTCTCTTTTTTTCTTTTTCACTCCTGTAGCTTGACTTTCTACCAGTTACTGAAGCTGGATCTCTGTACACCTCTAAAAATAGCGTTAGACTCATTTGCAGAACAACACTGCTTAGGCAGCTCCATTGGAGTGTTACAAGAAGGGGAACATCTGAATGTCAGGTGATTCCACCCTCAAGCCCTTACCTTTACCCTCAAGTAAAGCTTTGGTAGTCCCTTATAATCAGAGTTTTTACAGAGTCAGAATAGTTTAGTTTGGTGGCCCTGATTTTTCTACAAGGACCACAGAGTATTTGTGAGCTATACATGAAGTTACTGAGGGGTAACAGCTATCAACTTGGCAATCTTTATTCAGGTAAACTTCTAAAGGAGTCAGTGAAAGTTGTAGTGAAATATGCATGCCAGAGCTAGCTCTGCAAGAATAAAAGGCAATTGTATTAACCAATAAATACATATTCTAAAGTATGAATATTTAATGTACTTTAATATTTCCTGACCATTCATATTTAAATAACATTGTAGATGCATAACAATATTTTATCAACCACAGTCAGACAGGGGATATATTTAAAATACAACCTTCTTTAAATTTAATACTGAATATTCCATTCCAACCTTTTTTTTTTCCGGTGTGGATTACTCCACTGTTTATCTGATTTTAATAATTATGCTACAAAAAAAAAAAAAAAAAAAGCTTTTAAACAGTGTCCTGAAAGTTATTTTTATTCTACTTGACAAGGTTATATGACATTTCAGCATATGAAAGTTGCACTTTTCATCTTCCATTTTTCATTGTTAATATTTGTAAGAGGATCTGCATTAGGCACTATTTGAGAGTGAGCCCATTGTCTTCTAAAGGACTGATGTTAGAACTACATCAAATTGTACAATCCTTGCCTGATGTCTGGTTAGACAGAGCAAGGAGACAATGTGCATATGATTTTTTTTAATCAGCAGTTGGATGCATCTATAATTTACTTCTGGCAGCAAATACTGCCAAAACAGGTGGCTCAGCCTGACAGCCCTAATTTAAATGCTAGCACTAGTTCATTTGGATATTCTTAACTAGGTTTATTGGAAACATTCGTTATTTGTAGATGTTATCAGGAAAATCTGTGAAATTATATTTATCTTCCAAAATGCATGCATTAATACCATCAGTGTCAGAGGAGCGCTGTGGAAATACCTCTTGCAAGGTTCTCCAAGTGGGGAAAAACAAAACAAAACAAAACCAAACAAGATTTTTAGTCTAAAATTAATAGCAAAAATATGACTTTTAAGTCTGGAAGTGACTTTTCAGTCATTTAGCTTAATAAGAAAGAAAATAAAAGACTACAATAAAATAAAAATAAAACAAAGAGTCTGAATATATTTTTATAGTGCTTTTATAGTGTTTTTACAGATGTTCCTTAGCTGTAATATTGTGTCATTATTCTGTGCTTTTTTTGTGCAAAGCAATAGACTTCAGATGACAAAAAGCATCAGCTCCACAATAACCTGAGCTTCAGTATGACAGGTAAATAGGCCATAGAATTAGTTTAGTTTAGTTTTGTTTTCTTTTCTTTTTGTTTTCTTTTCTTATATTTGGAATAGACTTATGTTGATTGGCTGATTTTTAAACTCTGGAGATGGAAATTTTACTTGTGGCAGAAAACTAAGAATTCAGCCTGGGGCTAATGTTTCACTGCAGTTTATTTTCCTCTGGGGCTACTGCTGGCACTCAGAAGGCAGTCTGAAAGTTCAGATCTAAACTTCAGCAACATATAATTTGAACAAACAAAAACCAATTAAAATACCTCTTGCTTCACACAATTCCTATTTGATTTTATTTTCTTTCATGCTACATCCCAGCCCATGATTTGCTGGGGTCTTTGTGAAGTTATTAGGATTAAAGTACTTCTTCCTTGTGGTAGGTATTCTCAACTTTATTTTATGCTGTCAGCCACACATCAGCTAGACCGTTGGGCTCCTTGCCTTTTGGGGGACCATGCCGACATGTCAGAGAGCAGGGCATAACAGCAGTGCAGGCTTCAACTCTGCCAGAGTCAGTGTGGCTGCTGGTTTAGAGAGGTGGTCCAGCCCTGGCAGAGTGATACTGTTGGTGCACATCTCAAGGTGTCTTCTTCTGACAGTCCATATCAATACCAATATATTCAGAGACAGATGCACGAGGCCAATGGGGTGTTCTTTCAGGACAAAATCATGGTAGTGACAATGAGACTAAGTAGTTTAAAAATGTAGCCACCAAGAAATGACCCTGGCCTGCCTACTTGCATTGCAAGCCACATGCGCTGCTTATTCATTTCCGCAGCTACAAATTGTTACTTGTGGAAATACTAGTGAAGTGCACCCAATGAAAGGCAAAAGAAGATCTCTGAAGACAGTAATTTATAAATGTCCTTAGAAAGCTGGCAGGACCTAGGTCTCCTGCTGGCAAATATTTAGGAGAAGATTCCAAAGGATTATCTTCAGCATCGTCATTTTACATGTAATTACAACCACAGAAATACACTATTTAAATGTGGAAGTCCTTAAAACTGTGTACAAAAAAAAAAATCTCAGTACAGATACTAAGTACTCTCTCTTTGCAACAATCTGAGGATATTATTATTGTTGTTGTTATTATTACATTTCAGCTGTTACTGAGTATTCTGTAACGGCCAAGGACTTTACTGTGATCCACTTAAGACCTTGCTTAGAAAGGTACGGCTATCTAACTGTGCTACTCTACTGTGCTTATGAACACAAGGATTGGACTGGACTCAAGAGCTGCCACTGCTGAAACACAAAAACCCTGGCACCTCTAAGAAATGGTTTCTACCGATGTACATCTTAATCTATATGTACACAATAGCTCTGGCAGCAGCCCTATAGTTGGTCCTCTCTAGTCCAATCTACTTCAGGTCACTGTGCAGGGCTGATGGCTGTCCCCTGGCACTTTATCCTCCCACGCAGGGAAGAATGAACAGAGATTCAGCTCTGCCTGCTACAATGCACCGGAGACTGTGCACTGATCTAATCTGGGGCGGTGAGGAGAGGAGAAAGACAAGATTTCTATGCCAGCTGTTTGTCTGCCACAATTTATTTCCCCAGTGGAGCAAGAGAGAAGCAGGAGGCAAACAGAAGTGTGACAATGAGTCACAATTTGGTCCTTATTTTGCTGTTGAGAGCTGTGCAACTTCATATTTCCTCTGTTTCGGAGCAGGTTGCAAGGAGACAGGCTAGCCCTGAGGCCACACACAGCTTGTCAGTGACAAAATCAAAATTAGCTTCTGGATTTCAGTCCTTTTCTCAGGCTACTTGGTAACTACAAGTTTTAAGACGTAAACTATTTCAAAAGGTGGATTTAAAAAGATATGTATGCTTGAAGATTAATATACATGAAACTGATAACTTATGAGAAATAACACACCAGAGAGTAAAATCATAATGACTTCACGAGTGTGATGGCCAGAAGCTTACAGCAGTCTCCAATTGGCAAAAAAAGTTCAGCAAAGTCACACTAGAGGCAAGAGGGAGATAGCTACTTCTCATGGTAATTCATGAGTTGTTGCTAGAGGTGCTAGCAAGTTGTGCCAACTGCAAAAGGGGCCTAGATGAAGAAGTTAGATTAGATTATTCATTTTGATGGCTGAAGGCACGTGAGGTGTTTCCTAGCCTTCAGTTAGACTGCTGTTTAAGCACTGAGTTAGGAGGTTTCTATTGAATTTATTTGAAATAACTGAATTTGCAAAATGAAAAAATATCTTCTTTTTTTGTCTTTCAATGTTGACAAGGAGACAGATAGTATAACTTTTGCAGCAGGGTAAGGAAAGTATAACAATTTTGGAAATTATTTTTTGAAGGAATCAGTCTGCTTTTGTTCAAAAGTAGCAGGTAAAGTCAACAGCCTAATTACCCAGAGAGACAAAAAGTCAGAAAATCCAGGACTGCCTATAAAAAAGTAAGTATTTGGGGGGAACAGAAGCTCCAAATTATCACTGAAATTCCTTAAAACTTGGATTCCCCTGTGCCTGTGGGCTTGGTCAACTGAGCTGGTTAGTTTTGCTGCAGCCTGAGTGCTGTCTTGTAGCCTATTGAGGCAAGCAAGCATGAGGTCAAATTTGTTCACTTGTTTTAGGTTTAAGAATTTATGGGCAATGTTACCGCTGGTATGGTACCTATGCGTGTTCAGTTTGTACAGAGAAACTCTAACATATCACTACCTCAGGTAGCGCCTTAGAAAGTCACCTAGCTATGGACAGCAGGAAACCTTTAACCTAGAAACAAACCAGAGATTTAAGCTAATGCATTTTGTTGCTAGTCCATAACAGGCTAAAAATGTGTGTGTGCAGTTAACTAGTGTTTACACGTGTGCAAGCAGCTGGACTGTAGGTCTGATCATTTATCCACTTTTTAAAAAATAAACTTGTGCTCATAAGTATTTGGAACATATTTTAAAGTTACTTATGATGAGAAATATATTTAAAGCCCTAGTAGCTTTTTCAAGTTATTCAGGTGTTCAGTTCCGCCTGGACGCCTTCCTGTGTGATGTCATTTAGGTTCCTGCTTCAGCAGGGGGATTGGACTAGATGATCTTTTGAGGTCCCTTCCAATCCTGACATTCTGTGATTCTGTGATTCTGTGATTTAAAAATGAAACCTGTGCAACTACTTAGTTCTCAGAAGTCCCTATCTACACTTTCAGGTACCTAATCCTTGAAAAACAATGTAGTCTATAAATATTTTGAGTACTTTTGCCCATTACCTACCATGTAAACACTTAATAAGAAGTGGATTCATGCTGCTTTCACTGCTATGCTCTGGAAAGCAGAAACTGGTTTAGTTTAAAACACG